ATAATCGAGGATGAACGTGATCTTTATGCACCAATTCAAGAAGTGAGGGAAGCACCAACACCAGAAGTTGATATGGTAGCAGATGAAACTACAAGATTTACTCAATTTATTACACGTTACGGAAAAATCAAGGATAAAGATGCCCATATTGCGCTTCGTAATGCATTGATAGATCATCTATGGGAGGAATACACTAATTCAGATAGTTAAGTGCATACTAAATTTGTAATTTTTACATTGTTGTTAATGTTTAATTATTTCCTTGTATTTTATTTCCTGTTGTGTTCTTGAATGTAATATTTTGGCAATATCAATAATAAAAATATAATATTTTAGCAATCAAGTTATTTTAATTAATAAAATAATATTTTATTGTTTTATTAGTTTAATTTTTAAATAATAAATCATTTTGTTTGGAAAATATGTGAAAAAAATAAAATTTGATATGTGGGGTTAATTGTTGAAATAGTTAAAAATATAGGGAATAAAAAATAATCATATAAAAGTAGATAAAAAGAAAGATACTGAGAATATTCCTTTTTGGTGCAAAAAATGGTGCAATGGGTTGGAGATGAATTACTATTAGATGTGACTTTTGCACCATTTTGGTGCAAAATTTGCACCATTTTGAGGCAAAGGGTTGGAGATGCCCTTAGGTATTATTCCAAACCCCCCCCCCTAAACCCCTAAAACCCCTAAATCCCATCCTCTAGCATCTTTTATAATGACAAAATCTCTCGAAACTTGCAGAACTTTCCCATCGATTCTCTCTCTCGTACATTTGTGAAGGATTTAAAGAAATTCAAGACTAAAGAGTACGCTGATTTGTGCTCTAATTGACGGGTTTTGAAGGTAAAAATCCCAGTCCCTAAAAAGTGCACTTTGTCGTGTTAAATCTGTAGATTTTTCGCGATTTTTGATTTATCTAATAGTTTTTTCTAAATTTTATAGTTATTTGTTAAATCTAAAATTTTGTCTTTGATTGTCATTTGGGCGTTGGCTTTTTAGTGGAACAAAATTGATAGATTTTGAGATAGATTTTTTAGTTATATGTGTTATTATCACGTAACCATATTGTTCTTAGTAATGATATACCAAAGTTTATCATAGTCCTTTTCAATTTATTATGAATTTTATGTCAATTTTAAAATGTATTTTTCTTTCATTGTTTATGATTCCAAAGTGATCTTTTTTCTTGGGAATTAGCTTACAGAGATGGATGAAGGGGTCATAGAGATTATTCTAAGGTACAATAGGTATTCGAAAGATATCCCTAGGACTAAGAGGAAGAAATATGAGTGCGGAAACCAAAAAACACTTAGAATAGATCCTGCAAAGGCATCACTGAAAAACTTTGGGGAGCAAGTTGCACAATTTCTTCCTCATGTAAGGGGTCACATAATAAAACTAAAACTACACCATTCCAAAGACTAATCCTAGGGTATTTGGAGTTATTAAGACAAATAGGATATTCATGTGAGTTTTAAAGAGTCATCTGAAGAGGAGAAGTGTATTGAAGTTCTTTTTGTCTCTTGATAGTGTTGACAGAGTAAGCTTGTTATCTCCTGTGTCATATAGAAGAAGGAATCCTCCAAGGGAGGGAGCAAACTTAAGCAAGAAAGTTAACACGTGTGAACCTAGGAGATGAATCAAGTGATGATGAAAACATGGGAGTTAATGATGATAGATGTGTGCATTTAGCTGAGAACAATCATGGGGCTTATGCAAATGAATTTGAGTGGGATATGAGGCATTGGGGTGCAATAGAAGATCCACTAATTGAAGAGGGTGACATGAGTGATGAAACAGAGGGTGGAGTGATGTTTAGAAAAAATGAGGGTGAGAGTGAGATGAGGACTAATCTACAAGATGTAAACATAGGGGAGGATCCTATCCATACATTAGATGAGAATGTTTTGGGTATTGGATGTTATGGTGGAGAATACATAATATGTTAGTGATGATGCCGATGATTGTTACTCAGACAATGAGTATCATTCTTTGCACAACTCTGAGGAGGAGTTTTCTAGTGATAATGAGGATGATGTGATTGAGAATTTTGATGGGGGCACTTCACAACACTAACTATGAAGACCCTATCTTTATTGTGGGTAAATAATTGAAGGACATGATAGATCTCAGACATTGCTTGTAGCAACATGGCATTAAAAAAATTTAATTACGCACTAGATAAGAATGATAGTGTAAGGTTAGTTGCCAAATGTAAAGGTGAGAATTGTCCTTGGAAGTTAAGGGCCAAAAGTTAGCTGATGGGAGAACAATAGAGATTTTAGTGTTTGTAGACCTACACACATGTATGGGTGTTAATAAATGTAAGAATAACCAAGCAACAACTAAGTGGGTGGCAAAAAAATATGCTTGGAGATGTAAAAAAATAGTAACATATCTCCAGAGCATATTCAGGATTTAATAAGAAGAAAATATCAGTTGGAAATCTCATATAGCAAGGCTTGGAGAGGACGAGAAGTTCCAAGGAGCATGATTTTTGGGAATATTGAAGACTCGTATGACTTAGTTTTGTCATTGAAGAATGAATTGTTAAGGAGAAATCCAGGGAATCATGTTGATGTGAAGTTAGAATATGACAATGCTTTTCAAAGAAAGTTTGTGTGTTTTAATGCATCAATAGAGAAATTTAGAAGTGGTTGTAGGCCATATATGGGCCTTGATGGTTGCCATTTAAGGACCAAATATTTGGGGATCTTGTTGTCTGGTATTGCTTTAGATGGCAACAATGGATTATTCCCTATAACCTTTGCTGTTGTAGATGGAGAATCTAGGGAGTCTTGGTACTGGGTTTTGCAAAATTTGTTATAGGCTTTTGGTGGTAACTTGAGGGAGTTTGTGATGCGAAACGAGGGAGGGGGTCCATCGGAATCAGCGATCTAAATCGAACAACGCACCGTTTCGCCAAAAATCATTTTATTCGGTAGGAAATTAATTTAAAAACAATTAATGCGACAAATGGATTTTAATAAGATTTGCATCGACAGTCATAAACAATCCCAATCTCGAATAATTTAATTGTAATATTCATTATCATTGCACAAGTTTTACAATCAATATCAAGTTTTAACAATCACATGTTCAGTTTCTCTCAACTCACAATTATACTTTAAACAGTGAATATATGATAAGAGTTTAGAGATGTATTATTCATGCAATTAACTAACAAAATGAAATCAACAGAAAAATAAGGGACGAAAGAAAACGAAACCTTCGTCGGTCTGAACAGACTCGACGTGAGAGACCTCTGGAGGTGGGGCGACGACAACGATGAACTGAACAACGACAACGAGGCGGAGATTTGACGACGACGAGTGCGACGGTGTTGAACTGATGACGACGTGGTGACGAATCTAAACGGCGAAGGTGGCGGCGATTCTGAGCAGCGACTAGAGTGACGGCGTCGGTAAGGTTGACGGGACGATAGCGATGTGATGATTTGTGGTAAGCGGCTGTGGCAGTGGTAGTATTGCTTTGGTGGGGAATTTTGCCAAACAGTTGGTGTACATGAAGGCGGCAGTTGCTGGGAAAGGAGGCTCAGTGACAGTGGGAGTAGGGCGACTGCTTGGGAGGAGATGATGGCGCTGGTGGTGCGGAGGTGGAGATCAGTGGCGAGCTGAGTGTGGATCTGGTGGTTGCAGGGAAGAGGAGGGTTTGACTAATTGTTGACATGGGGAAGACGAGGGAATGCTTGGCGACTGGAGGAAGAGGACACAGGGAACGACCTAGGGTTTCACACCCGAGGCCTAGGTTTCACACCCAAGGCTTCACACCAGATTTTAGCTAATGCAATTTTTCATTCAATAATTCATTGATTTTCAATAGTCTCATACAACCTTATTTATAAAAAAAAACTACGTGCACACAACGTGCAATAAAAATAGAAACAAACAACAATCCCTCAAATCACTCAACTAAAATTAAACTAAATTTCAAATTTCAAATTTCAAATTTTAGATTTCAAAATTTAAAATTCAAAAATATATCAACTAATCAAATATTGTCATTTCTTGTCCTCATTAGTTTGTTTTATGAGTGATCAAGAAAAAGGATTGTTAGAGGCTATGTCTATATTGCTACCTCAAGCAGAGCATAGGGTCTGCATGAGACACCTATGGAAAGCAATCAAAAAAGATTTTCCTGGAGGTTTTTTTATGAGCAGACTGTGTTGGATGCTGCAAGGGCTTACACAACTAGTGAATTTAAGATGTACATGCATAGTTTAAAGCAAGTGTCTGTGGAATCTTTCACATATTTGTCTAGCAAACTGTCAGGAACGGGTTCCTGACACAAACAATTTGTATGGGCTAGAAGTCAATTTTCATCAATATCAAAGAATCATCTTATCACCAACAACAGCTCAGAATCATTCAACTCATGGATATTAGATGTAAGATTTATGCCAGTGGTGGACCTTATTGGTAAGATTAGAGTAAAAATAATGCAAAAGTTCAACATTACGAGGAATCAAGCTAACAAATAGAAGGGAAAATTAGTTCCTTATGCTCATAGGTACTGTTAAGAAATTAGTGAAAAACTAGGTGGTTACACAGTTCATCATACAAATGATATAGAGGCTGAAGTGGATAATGAATTTGAGAGGAGAATCATCAACTTACAGGCTAGAACCGGTAGCTGTAGAAAATGGCAATTGACTGGTTTGCTTTGCATCCTTGTGACAAACTTTATTGGCTCACTCAGAAATGCAGGTTGGGATGTTTTCTGTGATGAATGCTTCTCCATTGATAGGTGTGACATACTTTGCATTTATCATTTTTACTAATATTATTATCAACATCCACTATTGCTACTGATAATTCTATGTTGCAGCTATAAAAAGGCTTATACTAAATCAATTGGAGTTATGCCATCTAAGGATCAATGGGAGACATATATGAAAGATTTCATCATTGGACCTCCTCATACAAAGATAGGAAGGCCGAAGAAGAAAATAATTAGGGGGAAAGATGAGCTAGAAGGAAGACCAAAAGCTTTCAAGAGGTTGCACAACAGCCTCCTACACAAAATTCTGCAGCTTCAACTCAAAATCTAGCTTCAAGGTGATGTATTCTCACATGAATATTACATTGTATAGTATTTCATCATTAACCTAACCTATACTTATTGTTGTGACGCCCCTGTTTTCACACGAGGTTGCAGTCCAAGGTAAACCCAGAGATGTCAAACCTGCCATGCACCCAATACTATAAAACAACACGTTTCACCATCATAGTAATATCTCTCTAGTGGGATCAAATAATAACAGTGCAGGTACAAGCAAATATAAGAAAGTGTTGGATATCATATCCCCAAGATATAATTTTAATGATAACAATTTATTCATTATGTGTATCAGTATAAATATTATTGTGCACTAACATATTAATGTAGCTATCAACATCAAATATGAACAATTGCAAGATAAGTTCAAGGCATCATGAAGTAAACAAGATGAAGTGCTTATACATCAATGTAAATTTTACATTTTCTTTACTTAAAAATTTTGTACAAGACTTGATCACTCACACATACACACACATAATGATTAGAATACACCGACACATGATTAGTGTGTTGGTTAACAATAGAAATCCTCTATGTTAACCATTAGAGTTTATAGCGTATCAATGAGTCTCAAAATATTTCACTCATATTATTTTTCACCCCTTAGTAGTCGACCAATGAGACTTGTAGTTGACTACTGAAGTTCAGATAAAAAATATATAAGTTTCTGTTAAATTACAGTCTAGTCGACTAATAACTTTTTATAGTCGACTACTAAAGACTTAAACAAAATCTCAGTTTTTGTAAAAATACAGTATAGTCGACTACTAGGCTATATAGTCGACTACTAAAAGTCATTTCAGAATTCTTAACTTTCTGTTGTTTACAGTGTAGTCGACTACTACACAGTATAGTCAACTACTCTTCTTTGCATTTGAATTTCGGACTTTCTGTCTTTTACAGAGTAGTCGACTAATGACCAGTGAGTCGACTATTAATAAATATCTTGAATTAACAGAGTCTATTCTAACTCAGTGTAGTCAACAACAACAACTATTAGTCAACTACAGTGACATTTTTCTGACATTTCAGAATTTAAATTTGTGACTGTTTTTAGCCGTTTTGTTCTATTAATTGGCTTTGAAAGCTTATTTTTAAAGGGCTATAAATAGGTTACAAGTTCAGTAATTGCTACTATTGATTCCTATCTATAAGATTCAATATTTGTGCATTCTTAAGAGTTAAAAACATTCAGATTTTTCACTAAGTGTTGAGAAAAGTATTCTCTGAGTTACCCTTTGATCTTCATCCATTATACAACTTATTTAGGCAACTTCCAGAGATTAAAAACATTCTTAAAGCCACCGCTACACATCACTACACAATCAAGGCTTATAGGAATTATGTTGTTGATTCAAAAAAATTCTCTCGGGTGTGAGAGTTGTGATCTCTTGGTGAAGAGATTGTGTACAATTTGCATGGTCTTGCAAATTGGTCAGATTTGCTTTTTGATTTTAATAGTTTTTAAAATTATACTGGAACTCTCAAGTGGGATTTGTTTGGGGACGGGATGTACATCGGGGAGGTGGAACTAGTATAAAAGCTTGTGTTTATGATTATAAATTTCTGTGATTGTTGCTATCTTTCTTGCAATTTATAATCTACTTTGCATAAATTTTAAAAGAATATTATTCACCCTCTCTAGCGTTTTAGTGTGTATTAGATCAGATCCTACAATTGGTATCAGAGCAAGGTGAAGGATGGTATCATTAAGTACAACAAATACATCACAATTCAAAGAGGGACATTCCACACAACGACCACCTCTCTTTGACGGCATAAACTATAACTATTGGAAGTATCGGATGAAGATCTACTTCCAATCTATTGGCTACGATCTATAGAACATTGTAGAAACGGAATTTACAAAGCCTATCACTCCTTACACCAAATGGACAGTTGTTCAAAGCATAAATGTAAATCTGGATTCTAAGACAATGAATGCTCTGTTTTGTCCCTTGGACAAGAATGAATTCAATCGAGTGTCTACTTCTACATCAGCACATCAAATTTGGCACACTCTTGAGGTAACACATGAATGAACTAACAAAGTTAAAGAAATAAAAATTTCTATTCTTGTTCACAGGTTTGAACTATTTAAGATGAAAGAGAATGAATCCATCACAGAGATGTTCACAAGGTTTACATATATTACTAACTCCTTGATTGGACTTGGCAAAGAACATACTCAAGTTGAGATGGTAAGAAAAATCCTAAGAGCACTAACTCCGGAATGGGAGAAGAAAACTACGGTGATTGAAGAAGCCAACGATTTATCAACTCTCACTGTGGAAAATCTTATTGGAAATTTAATGGCATATGAAGTTCAAATTGAAGATAGAAAGAAGGATGACGAACCAAAGAAGAAGAAGATATTTGCCTTCAATGCATCCTCTGACACCGATGAATCTGACGAAGATGATGAGGATATTGCAATGATTACTAAGAAATTCAAAAGATTTCTTAAGAAAGATAAGTTCAAATCAAACAAATTTAAAAATACTATTGACTCTTCTTTGTGTTTCAATTGTAATAAGCCAGGTCACATAAAGAATTGTCCTCTGCTCAAGTCAAAGTCAAAGTTCACAAATTCCAACAACTTCAAGAAGAAGAAGAAGAAGGCTATGGCGGTGACTTGGGATGATAGCGACGATTCATCCTCTTCCGAAGAAGAAGAAGAAAGAGAAGAATCCGCTCACATGTGCTTTCATGGCACAAGATGAAGTAAATGATTCTTTAGACAATGAAGAACTTTTAGATGCTTTTAATGAACTTTATATTAAGTTTAAGGATTTAAATGCTAATTATAAGATATTGAAAAATGAAAATGATAGATTGAACTTAGAATTAGTTTTCTCAAATTCTTCACAAATTAAAGAATTAAAAGAATTAAATAACAAATTATTTTCTGAAAATAAGTTATCAACTAAAAATAATGGCTATCTTAAATCTGAATGTAACATTATGAAAAATAAAAATTTAAATTTAAATAAGAACATGACTTCACTTAAACTTAAATATGAAGACTTATTCTTAAATGTAAACAAGTTTAATAAAGGAAAAGAAGACTTGAATGATTTGTTATCTTTTCAAAAGTCTTCTGGTCAAAAATTTGGTTTAGGATATGTTCATAAAAAGTATGAAAATATTTGTTGTACAAATCATGCATCATATTCTATGAATAATAATGTTAGAAAATTTCATGCACCATTAACAAGGAATATACATACTAAAAATAATCATGCTTTATCTATATTCATTTGGGTACCTAAAAATATTAGTATACATGAAAGAAATATTTATATTTTAAATATTTAGAAAAATGTATACAATTCAAATAATTATAATTATGTTAACAAAGGAAAACCAAATTCCAAGTGGATTTGGTATCCTAAGTGCTAATCCAATAGACCCAACAAAAAAGATACCAATGCTTAATTGTCTATTTTTCAGGTACCTCAAAAAGAAAAGTGGATACTAGATGGTGGATGTTCCAAACATATAACCGGAAACTCTCAGATGTTGTCTTTAATTCAATACAAAGAGGGAGGCACAATTACGTTTGGAGACAAAAACAAAGGTCAAGTTATATGTATTGGAACAGTAGGTAACATTGACAAACCTCAAATAGATAATGTTTTATTAGTAGATGATTTAAAATATAATCTTCTAAGTATAAGTTAACTATATGATAAAAAATTTAAAATCATATTTAAAAAAGAGTCATGTCTTATATATGATCAAGATTTATCAAATATCTTGTTTAAAGATTTTAGAAAGAAAGATATATATGTTTTATCCATGAATTTTTATTCAAATGATCAAGGTTTAGTTGCATCAATAGATGATTCATTATTATGGCATAGAAGATGTGGACACATTAATTTAAAAAATATATCACGTATTTCTAAAAATAATATAGTTAATGGTTTACCTAAAATTATAAATAAGAAAAATCATTTTTGTGACGCATGTAAACAAAGAAAAATGCATAAATCTTTTTTCAAATCTAAATGTGTTGTTTCTACAAGTAGACCATTAGAATTATTACATATGGATCTATTTGATCCTTCTAGAATTGCATCTTTAAATGAAAGTAAATATGCATTTGTTATTGTTGATGATTATTCAAGATATACATGGATTATGTTTTTAAAACATAAGAATGATGCTTTTGATGAATTTACTACATTTTGTAAAAAGATAAAAAATCAAAAATCCACTACTATTATCACTAGTAGAAGTGATCATAGTGGTGAATTTGGAAATAAATTATTTTCTAATTTTTATAATAAAAATGGTATTTTACATGAATTTTTATTTCCTTACACTCCACAACAAAATAGAATTGTTGAAAGAAAAAATAAAACTTTACAAGAATGTGCTAGAATAATGTTAGTTGAGTCTAATCTACCAAAATATTTTTGGACAGAAGCAATTAATACTGCATGTTATGTTCAAAATAGAATTTTATTAAGATCTATTTTAAATAAAATAAGTTTTGAATTATTTTACAATCGCATTCTTAAGGTTTCTTATCTTAAAGTATTTGGATGTAAATGCTATATATTAAATACAAAATAAAACTTAGATAAATTTGATTCTAAATCAAATGAAGGTATTTTTGTAGGTTATTCTATGCATAGTAAAGCTTATAGAATTTTTAATAAAAAGACTTCCACAATAGAAGAATCCTTGCATGTTTCTTTTGATGAATCTAATTCAAATTCTAATAATAATGATAATAATCATGGTGATGATGATTTTGTTAATTAATCATCTCCTATTGTTAATAATAATACTAATGATACTAATGTTTTACCTAAAGCATATGTAGAAGTTAGAAATCATTCACGTGATTTGATCATAGGTGATATATCTCGTGGTGTACAAACTAGATCATAATTAAACTTATTTACACATGTTGTATTTGTTTCAACAATAGAACCTAAAAATATAAAAGAAACATGTAAAGATAATTTTTTTGATAATTGCTATGCAAGAGGAATTCAATCAATTTATAAAAAAATAATTGAAAGTACCCTAGAGGGGAATGAATAGGGTTTATGCTAATATAATCCGATATTAATGCCAAATTAAAAATTATTAACAATAATATCCTAGCAAGTATGATATTCAACAAGTTATATGCAATGATATGTAGTATAAACAAGGGTAAAATAAACATGCAACAATGGCGATATAGAATGTAACAAAGCACAAAAGAAATACGCCAAGACAAACGCAAACACAAGAAAATGATCACGGAGTTCGGTCCCCACGACCTACGTCTCCGTTTCCTACTCCCGGGGGGAATCCACTATCACAAATGAGTTTTCGACGTTCACCCAAAAATGTTTACAACTTCACACAATCTTGATTTTCTAGCTCACCGAAAACTATCACAATCACTCACAATATAATCACACTCTACACCCTCTAAGTGTTGGTCTCTAGTTCGTGTCCTCTTCTTTAAGTGCTCAGATTTACAACCTCTCCCTAGGCTTTACTACCAATACTACTTCTCTTAGAATCAATCCCGTCTCTCACCACACACTCCTCTCGGTGTACAAGTGTGTTACAAAGTGATCTCACAATATAGGCTCAAATACAATTGTTTGTTCTCTAATACAAGGATGAGAACTAAGTGTAAACTCACTAAATGAATCACACCACCAAACCAATAATACTAAATATGAAATACTTAAGGCACAAATGGTTGTGTGTGAAAATAATGAACAATAACAAAATCAAACTCAAATTAATCTAGCAAATAAGAATCAAAATGTAAATAAGCTAGATTAAAGAGTTAGAAGAACTTCTCAAAGGAGGCACGAAGGGATGTAGATATGAAATGAAATTAAACTCCTCAAAATCCAATTGAAATCTTATCCTCTTTGTGAAAGCTTCTTTTAGCTTAAACCAAAACACACTTATAAACTTGAAACAAACTTGTGTAAACTCTCTTAAACTTCCATGAGGAAACAAATGAGAGTTGAGGGCTTTTTATAACCTCTCAAAACTAGCCAAAAATCCACAAAAAGACAAATTTGGAAAAAATAGCCATCATAGGCTGAAAACATCTGATCAGTCGACGGATAGTATCATCGGTCGACTGATGATATAGCCGTTGGAACAGTAACGGTAGATTCTGGAATTTTTGCGTATCTGGCTTTGTAAAATCAATTAAAAGTAGTAAATCAACTCTAAAAATCATAATATTTTGAGCGAAGTTTCTAGATATGTAGTGAAACATGTTATAGAAAGAATTTATAAAATATCACTTCCCATTTGTAAGAAATAAATGTTTTAAAATAGATATTCTAGATTCTAAAAACTGCTGAAACACCTAATTTTGTAAAATCAAATTGACATAGAAAATCAACTCTAAGAATGATAAAATTTTAGGAAATGTTTGTAAACATGTAATAAAACATGTTAGAAAAATAATTTCTTAAATTAAATTTCTTATTTGTTAAATATAATTTATTTTGTAAACTATTCAAGAATATGAAATCATCAAAACTTGATTTTGATGAATTTTATTCCAAACAAGTTTTGAAATGCTTTCCAATAGATTAATCGACTTGAGAAAATATGTAAAATAATGTAAACAAGTCTTTAATCAATAAACATGTTATTTTATAAATAAAAATGATTTATCTTGAAAGCAATAAACCGAAAACGTGTATGTGTATAATATTTGAGCTTTAAGCATTAACACACAAGGTATAAACCTAAGCTAATATACCCAAGATGGAAGATCTTCAATATGCTTGTTTTGGTTTGCTTTGCAGATGAAGCTTGATCATATCCAACCTCCAATGGATATGATCGTGTAGGCTCAATCCAACCAACCTCCGACTAATGTTTGTGTAGATTACCTAACAAAACAAATATAAACACTCAACAAACATTGTTAGAAATTGTTTGTAAATGTAAACACTCGACACACGTTGTGAGGAATTATTTATAATCATCAAAACAAAATTAGGGAACAGGCTTATAAATATGAAACCTAATAAGGCCAACAATAACGTTTGGGATCTTGTACCTAGACCTCAAGATAAATTCATTATAGGAACCAAATGGATATTTTGAAATAAATTGGATGAATCTGGACAAGTTATTAGAAACAAAGCCCATTATAGGAACCAAATGGATATTTTGAAATAAATTGGATGAATCTGGACAAGTTATTAGAAACAAAGCCAGATTGGTTGCACAAGGTTATAATATTGGATGAATCTGGACAAGTTATTAGAAACAAAGCCAGATTGGTTGCACAAGGTTATAATCAAGAAGAATGTATTGATTATGATGAAACCTATGCATCGGTTGCTCGTTTAGAATCTATAAAAATTTTACTTGCATTTGCATGTTTTATGGATTTTAAATTATATCAAGTGGATGTTAAAAGTGCATCTTTAAATGGCTTTATTAAAGAAGAGGTTTTTATAGAACAACCTCCCGGATTTAAACATGAAAATTTTCCAAACCATGTTTTCAAACTTAAGAAAACTTTATATGGTCTTAAACAAGCACCCCGTGCTTGGTATGATAGATTAAAGAATTTTCTTTTAACTTTAGGATTTAAATTTAGGAAAGTTAATTCTACACTATTTTTTAAGAAAATAAATAAAGATATATTATTAATTCAAATATATATAGATAATATAATATTTGGTTCTACTAACAATGATCTTTGTCAAGAGTTTTCTAA